AAAACTCTTTAAAACTTCCCTTTCCTCAAACATACAACCAAAATCAAAATAGACAGAAAGAAAGAGCAATAAATCTCAGCAAAATACTCTAGTTTTTCCCTACTTGTTAACTACTCAGAAAAAGACGGAACAAAGACCCTTCAGAGTTTCTTTGTTCTTATACCAACTCATAAACCCACACAAACAAACAAACAAACAAACAGCAGCCAAAGAACACACCATTCTGAAAAATCCCAGCATCCAAATCAGACTAAGAACACCCACTGCTAAAAGCAGCTTACACAAAAAACAGACACCAACACATACAACAGCGAAACTACAAAGAAGGAAGCAGCAACAAAGCAGCAAGCAATCCCCTATAAGTTTGGGAAAAGAGCAATCACCCCCAAATGACAAAGAGAATGGTTTTTAACCATCTATATCAATCATCATAATCATCTCATTTTCAGTTTTCTTTACAGTACTAGCAAACCATATGTTGGCAGAATCATAATCTACAAAAATCAGAGTTCTTTACTTTCTGACAACTAGCATTTCACTTTTCATAATTTATATACTTCTATCTAAATGTATTGCACACATAATTCCATATTTGGCTCTGTATTCTGTTTTTTAACTGTCTTACTTGGCATGCTCCACCTCATTCCAACACAATCAAGCATCAATACCATAAACCACTTCAAATTTCTAAATCCATCCACAGGTTCCACATTCAACCACCCTAAAAAACACAAGTTTCTCCACTAAAGTTGCCACCAAACTGCCAACTTCAGATTCAATTTACTACAAACCAACAAACTCCCTACATTGAACAACAATATGTTTACCCCCAAACTTTCAATTTCAAAACACACAACACGATTTACAGAAATCAACCAACCATGAACAACCCCAATTCCATAATCAAATCTCTATCTCAGAACACAAAGACATAACTCTTACCAGATTTGTGACCCACCGCCGTCGAAGTTTTCTCCGTCAACAGCTCCTTCTCTTCCTCACCCTGTCCATCACCGGCAAAACTCTCGTCGGCCGACGATTCTTGTTCCTCCTTCTCCCCTCGACCGAACACAAATCAGAACCCCTCGTCAAAACCCCATGAAAATACAATCTCAAATACAAACCCAGGAATCCAAAGAAAAACAAAAATCAGAAAAACCTAAAAAAAACTTACCACAGGGACACCACCCTGCCGTCGTCATCTTCGTCGCCGGCGAGATCCTAAAATGGCGTCGGCGAGTCCCTTTCTTCCATTTCCTTCGACCAAAACTAAAGCCAAAATACAGAAATAACATTAATCAAAATCCCCATACCAGATCAAACCTAAAAAACGACATGCAAAGCCAAAAAATAACTTTTACCTTTACCGCCATCGATCATCATCGCCGGCGTCCACCACCGCCATATTCCCTTCGCCGCTTCTTTCTCCTTGTCTTCTCGTCGTTCCTAGAAAAGACAAGAGAGGGAAAGATGGGTCGAGAGAGAACGGGAGGGAGAGAGGAGGAAGCAGATCGAGTCTTTTGTTCTTCCATTTTTCTGTTCTTTTTCGTTCATCAGAGAGGTCAGAGAGAGGTGAGCGGCCCTTAGGTTAGGGATAATGAGTTAGGGTTTCGTTTTTGGCAAAAGACCGAAATACCCTTCTAGTTTTGACTAATTACCCGCTGCCACTCTCGAATTGCTTCCGTGAAATCCAAAAAGATTATGGTCTGTGAACTTTCGAAACATGGACTCTGACTTCACCAGTGCTTGAGGTCAAGGCAATCAACACTAAGCTATATTATCATACTTGGAACTTCAATCTCTTCATTTCAATTTATTTGTGCTTAATCTTAATACGCAATATTTCTATCAACTAATCTTGCTAAGATTTTTTTTCTTTTTTTTCTTTGACCAAACTATGTATGTCTCTAAATATTTCACGAAATGGTAACCCTTAGGTTATCACATTCGCTTTGGCTTCGTTATTCATACCTATGCTCGTTTTACTTAGAAAATATCTTAATACGAAATCATGATAAACAAACCGTAATAGTTACTCTCGATGGAATCATTTGAAAGATGGTTTTACCATTCAACTACTAAGTTGAAACATCATAAATACATTACCTAACAACTCTAATGATCATCTTAGCCACGATCAATAGAACGTGTTAAGATTCCCTTTTCAAAAGTTATCAACTTAACGAACTACGTGGACTTTGATCCCGACTAAGTCGGGTACGTAGGCAACCAATAGGTTCGAGTCCAACCAATCTAAAAAATATTTTTACGTCAATAAGCGTGAAAATTATCAAGTAACTACAACAATTCAAAATTTATCTTCCAATTGGACTCTAACAAATACACCCAAAATAATTATAAATAATTTTATATGGTTAAGTACACAAATAAGCCAAGTAATAATAATACACCCAATTCTTAAAAAAAAACTTATCGATTTAAGTAGTACCCATCCTGGGGCGTTGTGGGGTGTGAATACACTTCCCCACACGTAACCGTACTTCCGAACCCAAAATCTCAAAATTCGCAGACCAAATGTCAGTTCTGACTCTAAGGTTAAAACCAGACCGGGCTAAAAGGTGTTCGATCCACCGCTAAATAAGGTCGATGGCGACTCCGATCAGTTCGCGACGGTTCCCTTTCGATCTCGAGGGGCGGTTGCGACAATCCTATCATACCCCTGTATTTTTTCTCGCAAACTGGAATTCTAGCTTCATCTTTATCTGTTTTGAGGTTTGTTGCCATAGGTGTGGATTTAGGACTTACAAAGTTCATATCAAATTTCTTCGACATTGATTCAATATATTTAGGTTGAGAAATGAATATTCCAGAATCAGTTTGTTTTATTTGAAGACCAAGAAAGTACGATAACTCATCCATCATACTCATTTCAAACTCAGATTTCATGGATTCGCAAAATTGTGTACACATAGTGGGATTAATTGATCCAAACACTATGTCATCTACATAAACTTGAATTATTAGAATATCCGAGTTACACTTTTTAATAAAGAGTTTTGTCCACACTGCCTGGAGAGAAGTTTTCCTTTATAAGAAAGGATGAAAGTTTTCAAACCAAGCTCTAGGAGCTTGTTTTAATCCATATAAGGCTTTTGACAATTTATAGACGTGATTTGGGAACTCATGATCTAGAAATCCTGGAGGTTGACTAACATAGACTTCTTCTTTGATTTCACTATTTAGAAAGGCACTTTTAACGTCCATTTGAAATAGATGTATTTTCATGTAACAAGCAAATGCACAAAACATTCTAATGGATTCTAGTCTTGCTACGGGGGCAAACGTTTCATCGAAATCAATTCCTTCTTCTTGAGAATACCCCTGTGCAACTAGTCTTGCTTTATTTTTGATGATCTGTCCTAATTCATCATATTTATTTCTATAAACCCATTTTGTGCCAATGATGACTCTATCTAATGGCCTAGGTACGAGTTCACATACATGTAATCTAGCAAACTATATCAGTTCATCTTGCATTGCACACAACCATTCTTCATCAGTTAAAGCTTCTTTATAATTTTTTGGTTCTAGTAAAGAGTTGACCTGGAGAATACTTACCTCGGGTACGAATTCTGTCGTTTAGTTTTCCAATGATTTGTGTCTGAGGATGACGTTTTTCGAATGTAGACTGGAGCATTTTTCTCTTTGACTTCAGATTGTCCAGATTCTGGCAGCACATTATTTGATTTTAACTCTTCTCACAGCTGGTCACTTGTATTTATTTCTTCCTGTGTAGGCAGTGATCCTTGTGCAGACATATTCACTAGCTTGGATGCTGGAAATAGAAAGTCCACATTTTCTCTACAAATCTTTTCATCACAAGCAGAGTCATCAAATTTCACAAACACAGATTCTTCCACTCTTTTAGATCGAAGATTGAATATTTTGTAGGCTTGTCCTTTTACAGCATATCCTAGAAAAATTCCTCTATCTGACTTTGCATCAAACTTGTTTAGCTTATCCTTTAGGGGTGGGCAACGGGAAACAGGTATTTGGGTATACCCGTACCCGTCCTGTTTTTTTAAGGGTTACGGATACCCAAATATCCATAATTTTTTTTACGGGATGGAATTTGGGATCAATAATCACTACTTTGCTACCCACGGGTTACCCGTTAATACCCGCTTGGGTATTACGGGTACCCGTTGTACCCATTATGGCGGAGAAGGATGAGTTGCATGATAGAAAAATGAGCTATTTTGAGACGATGAGAGGTGGTGGTGGTTACGGCTGCGTTTGGAGTGGTATGAGACACGAGGGGAAGGACACTGCTTCCATTTGTTTAAACTCGGGAACGGAGAGGCTGGGACTCTCATGGAAAGGATTGTTGGGTTCGTGAAGCAATATTGAAAGTATGATCTCCAAAAGCCCAAAACCTCCTCTTCAATCATACTGTATATATAAGAGCTTGTATTTTGTTGGATCAGATGAATACTTGGTTTCCAACCTCTATAACAAAACACGACAATTATGTTTCATTGGGTACACTAGTAGAACAAAGATCTTACGTGAAATTGCCGTATTATAAGATTTCACCAATTGCACGGGTATTTACGGGTAGTATGGGTACCTGTTATCCGTCCCGTACGGATAATGGGTACCCGTTAACCAGTACGGGTTTGGGACATGGCATGGAGATTGCTCTCCAAATGGAAACACAACACATAAAAGTTTGAGGGTTTGTGTTTACGCCTAGAAAGTGCCAGGCGGATTTGTGAAAGCCTTGGAGAATAGCGCTGTTCCTTGATATGGGGGTGCTCCGTTCACTGCAAAAAAGGTCCGGGTAATGGCCGCGAACACTCTCCAACGATCTAGTCAGTGTTTAGAGAGAGAAAGTAAGGTAGAGAGAGAGTAGAATTAGTTACCATTAAATGAGGTGGTTGACTCTTATTTATAGTCTGTAGTAGTTGGTGTAAGCACTTGGTGTCTTGTCAGTCATATGCCTAGTATTCCTTTACGAGGTACGCTTACGGCGGCATTTAATGTGGTGTCAGTGACGGTATGATTGTCCCAAATGCCGCTCCGTCAGTCGTGCAGGCCCGCACGCCCGCCGTCTTTAGGCGTCCACCCCTGCGCCCGGCCCATCGTCCACTGGGCGGGCCAGTCTCGCGTTTCAGCCTCCACTGGGCCTTTTCCCTTTTGGGCCGCCTCTTGCTATGTGGGCCTTGATTTAGGCGGTGATCCCCCCATGGCCCAACAATTGTCCCGCAGGCGGGTAAAGCCTCCGGGTTTGGGCGGCTGATCCCCAAATCTAGGGCGGGATCGCTTCCTAAATCAAGGTACCGTCCTGTGCACCCTTCCCCCCAGCCGTCTAATCGGGGCAACACGCCTCGGGCTGTTCTTATCTCTATCTTGTCTCCACGTGTGTGGCGACACACTTCCCCACGTGCGACGGGAGCGACGCGCATCCATATGTTCATGATCGCCATGATTGCACCCTATATAGCCTCTTAGGGTTACTCAACCGTCATTCCTGGAAATCGTGCCCTCCTTCATTTAAAAGCTCTCGGCAGATTCAACGAAGGTACTCTTTCTTCTTCCCCATTTGCTCCTGGCTCTTTGATTCTCTCCTTCTCACTGCTCGTGTTTCTTTGATTTCTTTGTTTTGCCACCGTCGTCGTCGGACATCTCCTTCTAGTTTTCGTAGCCCGCCATGGTTAGTTTGAGCTTTAGTGCATTCCGACGATGGCTAGAGATGGATCATCGCACCCGCCGCTTTCCGCCGATTCAGGATCCTCGCCGGGACGAAAGAAGTCTTTGACCGGCGTTCTCTCCGTCGTTCCTGTTTCCGGTACAACTGTTCCCGCTCCTACGCCGATCAACCTGGATTCGTCGGATACGATTACGGATCCCATAACCGCTGCCGCTCAAGGTATGCTCAATCTGAACATTTTATCGCCTTTTAGTACGTCGGAAATTGACTGGGATTTTAGCGGGATAGATATCGATTTCGGTGGCTCTTGGTCGGATGATGGTCGATTCTTGTTGGGTGGGGCTGGAGACGGGTCGTATGAATTGACCGATGTTGCTTTGGGTTTAGGCATAGAGAATGTAGAACCTAGGGGAGACGCTTCCGCCATGGGGGATAACCTGGCAAGTTTTGAAAACGTCCCTATAGCAAGTGTAAGTTCAGAAGAGGGACTCAGTATTGATGAGCAGAATTCGCCGGAGTTGCCTGACTCGCCCTCCCTCGAGCTTTCGAAGGATACCTCGGGTGAAGACTACCGCGCGGTGGCGGACGACACGTATTCCATACATTTGCATGAACATATGTGGGGGAAACGGGAAGTACCTGCTCGCGCTTTCGAACGGGGTCCCGACCGATATAGCAAACTGACGCCCATCACCATTCTTACTCATCTTAGGAATCATCAGCTTCCTACTGACTGGAAATATGCTGCTCCGTCTCCTACCTCTCGAGCGGGTACGTGCCCCAAGGGTTGGATAACTATATACACAGAGCAGCTGAAGTGTGGCTTGCGTTTCCCTCTGGACCCCATCATCACTCAATCACTCCTGTGTCTGAACTGTACCCTTGGACGCCTATCGCCCACTGTCATCTTCCATGCCTGTGCATACAGGCTCGCCTGCCAAACGACTTGGGGTTGAACCGTCCTTTGCCGCCTTCCGATTTATATATGGCCTTCGGCGGGTCTCCAACGCTTGGTCATTTGGAAGGTGTGATAAGGCGTACGGGTTTGTTACTGGATCCCCGAAGCTTGACAATGCGTGGTTCAAGGATACTGGGTTTAATACGAAATTGGGATAAAACGGAACCAACGGACAATTCCACACCTGGGGAAAGCTCGTATGGTATAAAAGGTTAGCTGCTCGACCACGATTGAAGAGAATATTCAATCGATACAAAGCTCACAAGCTTGGAATCCACCAAACTCAACAAGTCGCAACTTGCACAAACCAAACGGTTTAATTTCAATTCTCCAAATCGGAATTTTACAACGTAATTAGAAGGCTATTTATAGCCAAGAAAACCTAATACAAACCTTATGTAACTAGTAAAAAATTATGGTAAAAACAAAATCTAAAAACAGTATAAAACTCGGGTTTAAACTCCCTTTCTTGAAGCACAAGTAAGCTGCCAGCAAAACAGTCAAAAGGCAGCTTTCGTACTAACTTCACGCCTTTCGTTCGAGACCTTCCCGAACTCCAATCTTTCATCCAATTCCTTCCCTTTGTTCAAAAACATACCTAGTTTCATGTTGTGGAAGCCTTTGGACTTGAATAAGATCCATACTCCTCGAATTAAGCTCCAAAGTAGGCTTCACAAAACAGTTTTCTGCCTTGGCCATTTTCTGGCAGTTTTCCAGTTTCGAGGTAGCAACTTTGAGGCATTGGAAAACAACCTTAATGACATCATATGGATCCAAAAAAGCATACCATTGGAAACATGGAAACTTTATCTGCAAAACAAACCCTTGACCTCCAATTTTCATTGATCCATTTGTGAGATACAAGCTTCCAAAGTAGGCTACCTGAAACTGTTTCAACACTTGGCCAAAAATCAGAATGCTTCAACTTAATTGAGATGACTTCTTTGGAAAGTAATTGTGAAATGTGGATTGATCCAATTGTGATCATATCACGAAGGCTGGGACCGCTTCTCAGAACCCTACAAAACCCGGTCCTTCTGCTTGTGCCGCGGCCTCGTCAAAGTCGCTGATCCCTGTGAGTAGAGCTCCCCCTCCGATAGGTCAAGCTATGCTCACGAGCGAAGCCGATGGGCTGATGACTGTGCAAGCGGGAGGAGAGACAGTGCGTAAAGTGCGCAATGTTGGGAAGCGTGACGCGGAGAGTCCTGTTGAATAGAGTGAAGATGGTCGAAAGAAGGTGAAGGCGACCTCCTTGACCGAAACTGTGGATTTTTCCCCCCACTCCTCGCTGCGTGAGGATTGCGCTCGCCGTATGTTGCATGAGCTGTCCGGGAAGTTGCTAGTCCCGCCCGAGTATACTGATGCTGAAGATCCGTCAAGCAGGCACTGGGTTGGCACCGCCGCTCGCTTTCTTCTCGCGGTAAGCATTTTTACCTTTGCTTATTGATTACCTTTTTGATGGCCACTGACGAGAAAACTTGTGAACGCAGGCGGGTGTTGGTTTATCTCAAGTTGGGATGACCAACGAAAAGCTACATATGGCCAACCTGCGCGGCGAAGTGGAGGCGGAGAAGCTCCGAAAGCGGATTGGCGAGTTGGAGGCGGAGTCGATCAAGGGGCAGGCTGCCTTTCGGGCGGAGGCTAGAACAGAATTGGAGAAGGAGCATGCTGATACCGTCAAGGATCTCTGGGCGGACCTGTCTCGAGGGGTGAAGAAGGTCAACAGTCTGATGGCGGACAAGGAGATTTTGGAAGCTGACATATCTCGCTTGCATTATCGGGTGGAGGAGCTTGAGAAAGCCCAGGCGGAGAGCGTGCTAAGGCACAAGACCGAGGTGGATGCTGCATCAAAGGCTGCGGTTGCATCATATCTACTATCCCCCGCATTCTGCAAAATAGATGACGCCAAACGTTCTAAGGTGATGGGGTATACGGTGGCTTCCATCCGGCACTTGTTTCGTCGCGAACATCTGGAGCTGGAGTGGGACACTGATGCCGTGTGGGATGCGGTGGTAGCCTGGGGCTCTTCCGAAGGTGATGTCAATTCCGAGAATGCCCTTTCGGTGTCAGCAGATGGTGATGAAGCAAGCTCTCGAGGCCAAGCTTAAGTTGCTGTGTTTATGACTGCTGTTTTGAAGTCAAACTTGTTCTCGAATGTGGGTTGTGTTTATTTTATTTTCCTTGCATCGTGACACTGTCCGCTTCAATGCGGCTTATTAAGTTTTTGTTGTGATCATTCCATTTCCTCGTGCGTGCCTTCAATTGTTGTGTGTGCTTCCGGGTTGCCTTCCCGGGATGCGTGTTTTAGGAGATCGGCATTCCGCGGGCGGGTTATCCTCGCTTCGTGGTAGCGTTTCTAGGAATAACCCATGTCCCGAGATGCATTTTAGGATCTCGCTCTGCCTTCGGGGTGGCGTGTTAGGAGCGAGTCCCTGCCCCTCAGGGCATTCCGCGGGCGGATTATCCTCGCTTCGTGGTAGCGTTTCTAGGAATAACCCATGTCCCGGGATGCATTTTAGTATCTCGCTCTGCCTTCGGGGTGGCGTGTTAGGAGCGAGTCCCTGCCCCTCAGGGCATTCCGCGGACGGGTTATCCTCGCTTCGTGGTAGCATTTCTAGGAATAATCCATGTCCCGGGATGCGTTTTAGGATCTCGCTCTGCCTCGGGGGTGGCGTGTTAGGAGCGAGTCCGTCCCTCAGGGCATTCCGCGGGCGGGTTATCCTTGCTTCGTGGTAGCGTTTCTAGGAATAGCCCAAGTTTGTGATGCGGGGCAATGAACTTCGTAGACCATGCATATATTGATAATTTCTTGAAAGAGGATAACATTTTTTACTCTGCAGAGTAGTACTTGAGCAAGTGTAGTGAGTTCCACGTCTTGTTGACTGCTTCTCCGCCCATGGTGGCGAGCTTGTAGGTGCTGGGTCCAATTTTGTCGCTAATGAGGTAGGGGCCTTCCCAATTGATATGATCCAAATTGGCCGCTTCTACGAGTCACAATTACTTGCCAAAGAAGCTATCGAAGTTGGGAAGAAGAAAGGCAGAATTTGGCTAAGTCAAAATCCGTGTTCAGGATACATACTTTGGAGGCATGGTTTTCTCAATTGGCTTGGTGGAAATTCAAGTTTAATGGTTTGTTTTATAGAAAAGGTTTCCATGTTCACAATGGTATGCTTTGTGGATCCAGAAGATGTGATTAAGGTTGTTTTCCAAGGCCTCAAAGTTGCTACCTCAAAACTAGAAAACTGCTAGAAAATGACCAAGGCAGAAAACTGTTTTGTGAAGCCTACTTTGGAACTTAATTCGAAGAGTATGGATCTGATTCAAGCCCAAAGGCTTCTAAAACATGAAACTAGGTATGTTTGTGAACAAAGGGAAGGAATTGGATGAAGAATTGGAGTTCGGGAAGGCCTCGAACGAAAGGCGTGAAGTTAGTACAAAAGCTGCCTTTTGACTGTTTGCTGGCAGCTTACTTGCACTTGAAGAAAGAGTTTAAATCCGAATTTTGAGTCCTTTTTAGAGTAGATTTTTACCTTAATTGTTTCCTAGTTCTATTAGGGTTGTATTAGGTTTATTTGCCTTTAAATACCTTTCTATTTTCGTTGTAAAAACTTAGACTTTGTTGAATAGAAAAGAAACCCTTTGGTTTTGTGCAAGTTGCGACTTGTTTTGGGTTTGGTGGATTCCAAACTTGCTGAGCTTGTGTATCGATTGAATAGTCACTTCAATCGTGGTCGAGCAACACCCTTTTTATACCAATCGAGCTATCCCCAGGTGTGGATTTGTCCTTTTGGTTCCGTTTTATCCAAGTTCGTATTAAGAACGCTTCGTTCTTGATTCGAGCTCAATCGATTCTTCGATTGAGTCGTTAGCTGCGTGACTTTGATAACATACACCCCTCCAGGGGCGTATCAAGTGGTATCAGAGCCCCGTTCAACGCAGGGCAAGGAGGAGCTCGAGAGTAATTCAAATTGGTCGTGGGCAGAAGAAAAAAAAACAGAGGAGAAGAGGAGATTTTTTCGTAGAAGCAATTCCCATTCGAAGAGCAGACGATGGACACACAGCCAATCAACATGGACGAATTGAAACAGATGGTCATCGAAGCAATTCAAGCGACCTTCAAACCTAAATTCGACAGAATCCAACATCGAATTGATGAGCTGAAGTTGTTGACGGATAAAGTAGCCTCACCGAAAAAGTCTGTGCTGCAGAATTCGATTCCAGAGAGGCATCGCGAACGAAGCATTCCAATTAAACTCAATCCAGCCATAGACGAGTGCATTCGAAAACTAGCGGCGAGCTGGGACAAGGCGAGTGAGACTTCGAGTGGTTCGACGATGGAGAAAGAAGGAGCAGCCAACCGACTCTGTTTTCCTCCGCAAGAACAGAGTCAGCGTTCCGGAGAAATCTACAATGAACTAGAGGATGAGTCTAAGGATTTCGTCGCTATTGGTGAGTTTCTTGAAGTCCCAGGAATGAATTCCCTAACAACAATCGAGGCAAAGCAGCTTCAATTCAAAATACCAAATTCTGCAGAAGCTCTTCTGCAAACGGTAGAGTTCGACTCCAAAAACGGGTATGATGTTGGGGATTCTGAGCATGAATCGAGCCTTACCACCACTACATATCAGTTCCTAGTAGGTAAAGGAATGGATTACCAGCCAAGAGCACATCCAAATCAGAAGGAAATCGAAGCATGTGGGTCTTTTCCCAATTTTCCAGAACCGCAGAGTTCTGCAGAAACGTGCAAATTCCAGAATGGTGGGAAAACTAAAATCATCGATTCTCCGATTACTGAGGTTGGACGAGACCTGGGAATGTTTGGAAGCTTCATATGGAAGTTGGGTGAACGAGATTCGAGTGTAAAATCGGAGAGGGGAGGATTGAATCAACAAATCCGAAGTTTGCAGCAACCGTCTGAGTTCGTTATTGCGACAGGAGGTTCTGGGCAACTTCTACTTTATTTCCCGGCCACAATTGACCTCGCTGCAGGTCAGGGACTTCAGGGTAACACACAAACGAATTTGATCATGCTAGAATCAAGCTCAAATGGAGTTGGAGGAGGCTGCAGTGCTGTCTGGTCGATCGTTTTGCCGCAGTTGGAGTACACTTTTGAAGACCCATTTTGGTTATCGTGTGATCGTCTTTTGTCTTGCAAAATCATACAAGCTTTGAGGGCAAAGCTTTTTGAAGAAGGGGGGCCTGATATGATCCAAATTGGCCGCTTCTACGAGTTACAATTACTTGCCAAAGAAGCTATCGAAGTTGGGAAGAAGAAAGGCAGAATTTGGCTAAGTCAAAATCCGTGTTCAGGATACATACTTTGGAGGCATGGTTTTCTCAATTGGCTTGGTGGAAATTCAAGTTTAATGGTTTGTTTTTACAGAAAAGGTTTCCATGTTCACAATGGTATGCTTTGTGGATCCAGAAGATGTGATTAAGGTTGTTTTCCAAGGCCTCAAAGTTGCTACCTCAAAACTGGAAAACTGTCAGAAAATGACCAAGGCAGAAAACTGTTTTGTGAAGCCTACTTTGGAACTTAATTCGAAGAGTATGGATCTGATTCAAGCCCAAAGGCTTCTACAACATGAAACTAGGTATGTTTGTGAACAAAGGGAAGGAATTGGATGAAGAATTGGAGTTCGGGAAGGCCTCGAACGCAAGGCGTGAAGTTAGTACAAAAGCTGCCTTTTGACTGTTTGCTGGCAGCTTACTTGCACTTGAAGAAAGAGTTTAAATCCGAATTTTGAGTCCTTTTTACAGTAGATTTTTACCTTAATTGTTTCCTAGTTCTATTAGGGTTGTATTAGGTTTATTTGCCTTTAAATACCTTTCTATTTTCGTTGTAAAAACTTAGACTTTGTTGAATAGAAAAGAAACCCTTTGGTTTTGTGCAAGTTGCGACTTGTTTTGGGTTTGGTGGATTCCAAACTTGCTGAGCTTGTGTATCGATTGAATAGTCACTTCAATCATGGTCGAGCAACTACCCTTTTATACCAATCGAGCTATCCCCAGGTGTGGATTTGTCCTTTTGGTTCCGTTTTATCCAAGTTCGTATTAAGAACGCTTCGTTCTAGATTCGAGCTCAATCGATTCTTCGATTGAGTCGTTAGCTGCGTGACTTTGATAACATACACCCCTCCAGGGGCGTATCACCAATTCGCCGTCAGCTTCCCATGCCTCTCCTTCTCTCTCTTGTCGAACATCCTTTTGAGCACCATGTCTCCTTATTCAAGCGGTCGGGGGCGCACTTTGTTGTTGTATGCTCGTGACACTTTCTCCTTCTCTGCAATTGTTCGAGTTAGGGCCGCTTCCCTTCTTACTTCTGTCATGTTCAGCTGGTGAAGTAGGTTGGCATGGTTTTCCTTGGGGTCGTAGGCTCTGATGCGGAGCGTTGGCAGATGTAACTCCGTTGGGATTACCGCTTCGCTCCCATATGTGAGGGAGAATGGTGTTTCGCCCGTTGCAGTTTTGTGCGTGGTTCTGTGGGCCCACAGGATGTGCGGGAGCTCAGTTGTCCATGCACCTTTTGCCTCTCCCAGCCTTCTCTTTAACCCTCGCAAAATGAGCTTGTTGGATGATTCCACCTGTCCATTTGCTTGAGGGAACGCCACCGATGCCATGCTGAATTTTATTTCATGCTCTTGACTGAACCTGTCGAACGGGAGGCAGTCGAATTGAGTTCCATGATCTGTTACGATCGTCTCGGGGATCCCGAAGCCGATCAGTATGTTGTTGAAAAGGAACTTCTGTATCCGGGCACTGGTGATTGCTTCGAGAGGCTCATCTGATATCCATTTGGTAAAGTAGTCGACGGCTACCACCAAGTACTTCTTGCCCAACGAAGCGTTAGGGAAAGGCCCTAGAAGGTCCAAAACCCATTTCGCAAAAGGCCATGGGCTCACTATTCCTTTCATTTCGGAGGCCGGGTGATGGTGCTTATCTGCGTGTGCTTGGCACGCATGACATTCGCGCACTATCTTGAGAGCGTCCTTCTTCACGGTAGGCCAATAATATCCTTGCAAGAGGATAGCTCTTTCGAGGCTTCTCGGGCCGATATGGGTGGCGCAGGTACCCATATGTATCATCTTTAAAGCTTGTTCGGCCTCCTCGCCTCCTAGGCACTTCAAGTAAGCCCCCGTGAAAGAACGCTTATGCAGATCTCCCCCCACTAGGGCATATCGGGTGGCCTTTCGACGAAGTGCTTTGGCTGCCACCCTGTCTTCGGGTACTTCATCACGCTCAAGGAAACTGATGAGTTGGTTTTGCCAATCTTGATCACCTTCTCATGCTTCGTTTACTATAGCCGTTACTTCCTTCATTACGGTGACCTGCCTCTCATCCTCAAAGTCCATGGCAGTGGCCAGCTTGGACAGCGCATCGGCATGCGCATTGCCTTCCCGTCTGACGTGCTCCAAAGACCAGTCTTCCATTTGCGCAAGCACTCCTTGCGCTTTCCCTGCCAGCCGCATCAGCTCTTCCTCATTTATCTCAAAATTTCCATTAATTTGCCCCACCACTAACGATGAATCTGAAAGAATTTTGACTTTCTTCGCTCCCATGCCTGAGACTAACTTCAGCCCATTTATCAACGCCTCGTACTCAGCAACATTGTTTGTCTTCAGGGCGTCGAAGCGCATGGCGATCTCGTGGATGACGCCTTCAGGGGTCTCGATGACTATTCCTGCTCCCGCTCCTCCTTTTCCCGCTGCCCCATCCACTAATAATTTCCACGCCTC